ATAGTTGATCAAATAATTCTAAATATAAAAGTTTGAAACAATCATATTATTTTCCACAAATACAAATAATTGTTAAAAATAATATTATTACTATAACGTATATTGAAAATAAATTTAACGAATATTTTCAATTAGAATTTTTCATATTTTTTGTCTTGAAAAAATAAATTTGAATGATATATTTCTAACTAAGTAAACTTTTTCATAGGAAACAAAAATACATTTGCCTGAAGATTTTTACAAAATTCTTTGAAACTATTGTCTAGAAGAAAGATTAATAGCTATATTTCTCAACTACCCGTAGCAAAAGTGAAGAAAATAGTATTTAAAAAAAATATTCGAGTCATTACAAAAGCCTAAAATTACTAAAATTAGTTCAAAAGTCTATTATGTATATTTTTTTTTTGATAAAGACTCTAGTTGTATGAAGCGTAAAATAATATTTTGAATCTGGATAAATTTTGAAGCAAAATTACTTGAAAGGATGAAATTAATTTTTTTTGCACGTGACACATGACTTGTCATAATTTTCAGGCGTTAGGATATTGTATGTTAGGACATTTTCAATTATTCTTAATTTTAGGGCATTTTCTTTAGGATATTTTCTGTAGGACATTTTCTTTAGGATATTATCCGTTAGGACATTTTCTGTTAGGACATTGTCTTTAGGACATTGTGAGGCACCCCCAACGATGAACATGTCTCTGGTGATTGAAGTTCTGCAATGTTGGCGGTTACTGAAATATGTTATCTTTTGCATTCTCTGGCAACAAATATAATTTTTTTATTTTTTTTTATTGCATGTACATAAAAAAATGAAAAATTAAACGCCTACATTATCACCCGAGCGCAAAGGTTTGTTGCTATTTAATTTAATTTAAAATTGTTCATGAAATATTTCTTTTCGCGTGCAATTTTTGTATCGGTCATTTTAATTAGGTGATTCAAGAAAATGTATTAATTAAACTTGGTTGTAAAAAAAAAATCTTCTCACAATCAGAAGTAGATCTGAACTTTATTAGCTAAAAATTTTAATTTATGCAGTGACCAGTCAATATACTTAATCCCTCTTGATAATTAAAAGATTGAATGTTTTATACTGGCGTAATTTTCTTTATCTTCAGCCAAAAACTTTCCCAAACATGAAAAGTCCATCTCTTTCCTTTTCAATACATATAAAGCCCAAATGACCTTTATCAGATTGATCACCTGCTGCAAGTTGCTCTGACAACCGACGAAAATAACGTTCTCGCGCGGACTTTGCAACAAACGATCGCGGCCAATAAGCAATAAACCACTGACGAGCCTTAAGTGGCCATCTGATGAATGTGCGCTCTTTTCCGTAATTGAAAGCGTCGTTGACGGGGCGGTGTGGCGCGGCCACTGCAGGCTGCGCGTGATTTATCCACGCCGAGACAGGGGCTAGGATTACCCAGTGTACATGGCAATGAAGAGAGCGCGGGCAGAATATAGGCCGTGTTTCAACGGCACTCTCTTGGCAATGTGCCTTTTGTCACTAGTAAAATATTTTAGTGGTCCGCAGCAGAGATCTCGCGCGAGCGAGCGAGCGAGCTGGGCACTTTAATTTATGTTTGCAATTCTTTCTGAGCCCGCGGTCATGCTGGCTAACTGCGTGCAGGACACAAATTATGTCCCGCTAAAACCATCAATAAGACGCAGGCTCGCTCTCTTTTTTTCCGGATTCTATCCTGGCGATACTCGGAACCGCCTCGCACATATTGCTGCTTTTTTTCCGCCAACGCCTTCTTTTCCACTTTGAAGTTTCATTCCTTCTTAAAGCCTGCCTAAAATAATTTCATTTTTGGCAGTGATTTTGTTTCAATGAATCAGTTTTTAAATACATCCTGGACCTAACAGTAAGTTTTTCATATTCTTTTAATAAAATTATAGTTTTTTTTTACATTAAAATTTTAAATTTGATATTTTTTTTCATAAATTTTTGTACTTGACTGGTAATGAAGAAATTAATGTTTTCATCGATATTAAAAACCCTAATTTGCCTTGATCGTACTATTGCTTATTACAGTTGAATTATTTTATGAATAAGTTCATACTTAAATTGTAAAAAACTCAAAATATTTTTGTAAATAAATATTTTATTATTTCGGGTTAGGTTCCTGAAGTCATCTCGAGTAAATTAATCAACTTTTCTATTATTCAGATATCAATTTTTTGGAAAGGAGATATAAAAGCACATTCAGTGAGGTTATTCTCAGAACAGATGTAACATAATAATAGAAGCTTTTCTTTTGTAAAAAAAACACACCGGATAAATGTAAGAGCAAAATCTCTTTCCTTCTTCAGGAATTCAGCTTGTTAGAATTTTATTTTTAATGACATACAACTCTGCTTTCCATTTTTTTTTCTTTTTTTTTCTTTTGCAATCTATACCAACTGGGTTGAAAAGTGCGCATAACGTATATCATGTTCAGCCTTATCAAAAAAGCTTTTTTATGCAAATTTGACGCGAAACTGGAAAATTATGAATATTCTTCATCCCTTTGAACCGCCGCCTAAGCATTGAAATTCCAAGTGGCGCCTGCAAAGAGATCTTCTACGCTTTGAATTTATTCTCCGCAAACCCTCGAGCGGACAAAATAATAATACAGTTTACTCGCGCGCAGCTGAGCAAAAAGGCATACACTGTGAGATATAAGCGCTGAAGAAGTATTATGCACGAGAGAGCTGCCGGAGAACTCTAATTCCGTCGCATCAGGAATAATGTAGCCGGAGCCGCGAGCGTGCGAATTTTAATCTTCACGTGCGCCGAAAACGCAGTAATTCTTGCGCGCGGCGTTTAATTTGCCGGGAGGGCGGTTGAATAATAGTTCAACGAGTCATCCAAAGTGCACACGGCTGCCTTGGAATTTTAAGAGGGTAGTTATTCCTAATGAAATTTTGCAGTTCGTCAAGCATAGTATCTCCTTTTTCAAAAAGCTGCGCATTAATTACATAACGAAAATTGAGTGCTAAATTCTAAAAAACAAAATAATCTTTTCCAAATAATTCTATTTGACGAGCAATTAAATTTCTTTAATCAACCATTAATTTCATTTTTCAGAGGAATGATTATTTTTGTGCGGAGCTCAGCAGGTACCACGTGATTCCTAATTAATTAATTCAGCATTGCGCGCCTGTCATGATGCAGAGTGGTCTTGTTAGGGCTTAATTGCGTATTGATTCTGTATAGCGATTGAAAGATTTTGGCATCTCTCAAGTGTACCATAATTGCTGAAGTCTTCCAAGATTTTGGAAAAATAAAATTTACTCGCCTCAATTCATTGTCAAGTGATACACACTGTTCTCAATTTCTCAGTTAGAAAATTCATGAAAGCATAACTTTTTCGGTGAACTGACTATTTCAAGATGGCTGACATTTAATTAAATTCAAAGATTAACTTTTTATTGATATTAAGGAATAAATCAATCTTAAAATCAAATTAGGAAATTAACCGACCCTGAAAAAGTTATCTCACTAATATTGAGGCTTGTAAAATCTTGAAATTACTAGTCCAAATTAATCAATGCGCTGTGTATATTTTATTTGCATTTTTTTTCTTATCCAACATTTATTTAAAAAGAATCAATTTTAAAAATATGTCGTCCATAACCTGTTCCCTGAAATTTTAACTGCAGGATTTCTTGCAAAATTTTTAGCAAACATACTCTTTGGTAATTATTATTACTTAATTTATTTTATAAATTAGTTTTTGTAGACATTTATTGACGTATATTTGAATTGAAAAAATGGTCAGAGGTTTTTTGAAAAGTGCATTCGTTCGTGTTTTCTAAACACACATTGTTTATTATTTTTTCCCCGTAGAAATCTGAAATTGAATGCCAGCCGGTAACGCCGGCGCGTGTGTATTTTCATTCAATTCGCGGCATTATTGAATTCTCAAGACATTTGCGGGGCTGATTCAGGCGGCTGGAATTTCAATACCGGCTCCTCGGATATGAGATTACGAATCATAGAGCGCATTCATATCCAACGTAGCTCTGTGAATATTCGAATCCAGCACCGCCGAGACGCCGCAAGTGCTCGAGGAATGCGCTCGACTCGAGTGGAAAACAACAGTCGCATTCCGCAACCTGCACCGCACGCTCGCGCATCCGGTTGCCTACGCAGCCAAAATTGAATCGAAAGTGAAGCGGCCCCGCGTGACTTTCTGGCCGGCGCACGTGAATATTTTATCGGGGCGCCTGTTTAAATTCGTGCCGCTAATTAATTGTCAGCGCGCGATCCAATTTCGCGTGAGTGGACGTTTGAATGCGGATCACGCGGATTTGCCATCTGAATGTGACGCGTTGGCTTTAGTGGGAATTGCACGCTGACCGTTGTGGTGCTGCTGAAATTTCGAAATTGTCACACCGCCAGATTTTTTAACCGTGGACAATTTAGCTGATCGGTGCGACCAATCAATTTAATTGCTGGTCATAACCAGTTTGCGAAGTAAAAAATTATTTGATCATTTACTTTTATTTCCTCGAAACATGTGCCATTTTATAGCTTGTGAATTAATGAGCATTGATTAATTATAGTGTCAATTAAAGTGGATGAAATCATAAATATTAAATTGTCAATATATTGTTTCCAAAAAAAAAAAAAAAAAAAAAAACGAATCTTCTTGGAATTAGATCAATATTTTAAATTTTTAAATTTAAGTTTAATTTTATTTTCAGCGTATATGAAGAAAAAAAATGGAGAGTAAATTTCAGTCTCTTATTTCCGAGACATTGATTTCAATAGAAATTGCTTGTAATAAAATAATGCAATACATTCAAAGCCCATTTCCACTCAAATTCCGCCAGTAGAATTCGATTACCCCAAACTGCCGCCGTTTCAATCTAATTCAGATTCAACGCACGCGGCTGGAACGTTCCCCTCGATTTTGGTGGAATAGTTAAAATAGGACAACTCAATCGTTGTTCCGTTGCAATGAAAATAATTGACGAAGTGGTAATTTGTGTGTTAACAGGTAGCCGCGATGCCGTGGACCAACTGAGCAGCCTCCAAAGGCAGAGAGCGTCTCTGCCTGCCCGAATATGAGCGCCAAAAGACTCACGCCGTTCGTATTCCTGCTGCTGCTCTACGGTTGGGCCGAGGCGGCCCATCCGCCCAAGCAGACGGGCCCTTGCAGCTGGGTCATCGACACCGTGCTGCGGCCCACGGGCATCATTCAAACACCCAACTTTCCACATCGATTCACAACGCCCGCTAGGTAAGATAATTTATTACAAAGAAAGGCCATTTCAATTTTCAAAAAAAAATAGTTGTAAAATAAATTTGTTTTGCGTATGTTTTTACAATACTAGTAATTTGTTTAATATTTTGTTGCCTATAATATTGATTGAAAATGTTTTAAGTGAAATTTATTTTCCAAAAAATATTTACAGCGAAGAAGTTCATGAACTTAATGTTACAGAAATTTTTTATTTCGATGATTTATTTACATTTTTCTTGCAAATGAAATAGGAGATAGGGTTACAATCCATGACCAAAATTGGTAGTGCCGTTTATTTGTTGGCTTCTTTTTAATATAAACCCCATATATCCTGGGGTTCCTTTCACTTGAATATTTATTGCATTATATAATTTGCGTCTTTTCAATACTTCATTTTTAAAAACTAAATTGTTTTATTATGTTTTTAATTTTAAAATGGCTGTAATAATTAGAGGATAAATCAATAATTAAAATTACTTATTAATAAAGTCTGAAAATATAAAGCAACTTTCTCTAAGTCGGGTCTAAATAATAGAAATGAAACTGAATTTAATTATATTTCTTTTTAATAATTTTAATTAATTGGATAATATCTATTTGCTTTCCAGTCTCCAAATGGAAAATTGGCATTTTGAATCATGTAAATGACAAAATATTGATAGGACGGACAGTCAAAATACAGCATTAATCAACTTATTATGTCGCTCATATCACTTTTCGTTTGAAGATATTGATTATTAGTTCGCTTGAGCTCGTATTATATTTCCTCGATATAAAAACAGCGAGGAAACTTCTGCAGAACCAATTTTATCACGAACTCAACTGCTGTGGGCCTTTTTAATTAAATTAACTTCAATAATGAATTTGATCGCAGATGCCGGTGGGTGTTGAACTCTTCGCAGTCACCGGAGACGCACACCATCATCTGGTTCACGCAAATCTACGTGCTGACCGGTCTGAGGATCACCGAACAGTTGGAAGAGTCGTCCTCGGAGTTGGCCGGCTCGCGGGTCCTCCTGGACGCTTCCGCCCACGACCAGCTGCTCAACTACACATGGGTTCGCTCAGCCATGCCCTACCTGGTGGTCGAACTCAACCTCGACCAACTCGAGGGCAACCACGTGCGCACCAGGGACAATTTGCTCGACGTTTTCGGCTTCAACATGACGTACGAGTTGGTGCGGCACGACAAAGAGAATGCGCAACTCCCGAAACGCTGTAGCGTCGTCGAGTGCTCCTATGCTGGCGACTGCCTGGCAGACGCTTCTTTTACGTAAGTTTTTTAATTTATAATTCCATTATTTATTTCAATTTTTAATTACATTCCCCATACATGCAAATAATTTCAACCAGGTTTTGAAAGAGATCTTAATTAATCAGACATTTACAAAAGAATAACAAATTGAATTCCTGAAAAATGATTTTTTCAAATATTAATTTATTAATGTAAATCCATGAAAATGAAATATAAATGGAAAAGAAACCATTCAATTTGACAGAATGTGAACCCTGGTTCAGATGTGGTTCAAACCCGGTGGAAAACTGTTGTAGAACTGATGCAGAACCGCTGGACCGGTTCTGCACCAGTTTAGTACAATTTTCATACCAGATCTGCCCTAATTAAAAATTTGAAAAATTTTGATACCCAAAATATTTTAAAATCCTGAAAAATAATTTTTTATATATTAATTTATTAATGTAAATCCATGAAAATGAAATATAAATGGAAATGGAAGCATGCTATCTAAATGAAATTCTTGTCTTTTGACAAATGAATAGCATTTTTATTTTGAGAAAGAAAATAAGCTTGTTCGAGCAAAAATAGTAATATTTTTTTGCTTTTTTCCATGAATAACTGTTTAGACACTTTTGTTGTCTTATTTCATTACCTTTTGTGCAAATGTTACAGATTTATTTTTTGTATTAGGATTATTTAAACAAACTAACAGGATACATCATCAAACTTCATAAATTTTCCCTCCGTTTTTTTTCTCGAGTGATAATAATATTGATGCATAGGTATTTTCATAATTCCCTTCAATTTGATTTAGTTATTTAGCTTCTTATTGTTAGTTTATTTTAAAATGTTGAAATTTTTCTATGAAATTACAGCTGAGCTTTTACAATATTCCCTTAAACATGAAAAGCTCTTTGTGTAAAAAACGAAAACTTTTAGACATTTTAAACCGTTTTATACATTTATTATTGTCTAACTTATTCCAAGAAAATTGAATAAAAGAAGATCTTTCTTGTTTCAGAAACTATGGGTGCGCTTGCTATAATGGATTTTCTGGCGACCAGTGCCAATTTGGTCCTCTTTGCAACGCAGAACTCAATCCTTGCTTGAACGGCGGTATTTGTAGGTAAGTCTGCTATTTTGGTGTTGCCATAGTAACTCCTCGGCAATAAATATTATTCTATTATTATTCGGTGTGGAGACTCAATTTTGATTCTCTAACTCACTATCAACATTTTAAATAACTTAAAATTTTGACCAGTCGCTTAAAAAAGCAATTAAAAGTAATTAATTATTTAATTCGCCATTTTGAATTGTGACTTAATTGTTAGTTTCTCAAGAAAATGGGCACAATTTAAAACAGATCCGAGATAATTCAGCCTTATTATAAAAAATTATAATATAATTCCGCATTAAATTTTCAATTTAGATTTTTCCAATTGTGCACACGGAAGGTTGGGCGAGGGCAAGCAAAAGTTTTCTCAGACGATTTTTGTGGCCAGCGCCGAAAACTTCACAGCGTCAAGTTTGTTCTTAGAATTAAATTATCCACATCAAAGTGCGCTTAGCGAGGCCATTAAATCACTTAGTTAGCCAGCCAGCAGACTTGAAAGTAGTCCAAAAGGCGGGCTGCAAAAATGACAACAAGAAGCAGCTGCAAAAAACAATTCGCGCTGCTGGGAGAGAATGTACCGCATAATAGCAGCGCATTCACTATAAAAAATGACCTGAAAGCAAAACGAGCGTCCGGCTCTAATTAAATTACAAGCTCCAACGCATATTACAAACTGCCGCATGAATATTCAGCAGGATCAACAGTTAATTTTTATTTCACCTCAAGGCCCCATAAGTCTGTTGGCGCGCCCTCGGAGGGGAGCTGAAAAAGCACTTGCGCTGCACAACAATTAGGCCCACTGAGCTTGATTGAAGAGAGAAGCTTTTGGAAAAAAGATATTAATGTATTTTGTGCAGTGAACGCGAAGCTCAGCGTTTCCGCGGAAAAAGAAACAATCCCATCGACCTCTCGCATAATGGACCCCGGGCGGACGGGCTTGCGACGCCGATAAATTATTCTGCAGTTCGTGCTGGCTCACGGCGTCTTTTTGTCGAAATCAGCGTTGTGTATCCGCGTCTGCAGATATCGCTTCATTTGCATCAGGCCTTTGCTCTACAAAAAAAACGACCATATTTGCATTTTATTTCAACTTCACAAAATAACTTATTAGGAAAACAAATAACCTAAACTTTCTGGATATTTTTTTTCCACTTTACAAATAATAATTCATCTTTTATATCCACAAAAAATCATTTTGTAAATTTTGTTTTATTTCTTGCTTTGACGCTTCATTGACTGAAGCCATTTAAGAAAAATAGCAGCTTTGTTGTCACAAAAGATGACAATTAAGTTCAGATTTCACTGCAGATTGGATGTAATTGAGCTGCCGTGAGAGCGACAACCCAATTAACAGCGCAGTCGACGGCAACCCTTGCCGCCAACAACTTAATTAAAATTGACCTCAGCGCCTTCCAAGAATTTCAATCGAGCGGAAATCCAGCCGCGCTGTTAACTTTGCCGCCGTCTGCGTTTTTCTTCCGCCGGTTTCCACACTTTTTTCACCCTGCTCGGTGAAAAGCAAACGGCGACGATCAATCTCTATCGGTCGCAGAGAGTTTGAATAAAAGTTCCCGACGATGCGATATTGCGCTGCGATTCACGCTGCCAACACCTCATGCGGCCCAATTACGTTCACTGTTCTACTTGAACACCATAGTCTCTATTGAAAATTTCACCACATATATAAAATAACCAAAATTGATTACTTTGAAATTTCTTATTAGAATTAAAATTAGCTTGCTTAACAATAATGATTTCAAATAAATTAATTAATCTGATTATGATAGCAATTTAAAAATTTTAGACGCTTTACATAGTTTAAAAAAAAGAGTAAAAATATAAAAAATGATTATTGAAAGTGAATAGTGTGAAAATTAGATTTTTATTTTTTTATAATGCTTAAAACGAAATAAATGTCATGTTCAAGAAAAATGGTGTTATAAATTTTTCCAATACTGTAAATTAAAAATCGCAAGCTATCCACTTTTAATATTTTCTTTCCCGAATGCTTTTGAATAAAAAAAAAAAAAATTATTTTTAAGATACATAGAGTGCTAATAATTTTGCTCTGCTGCGTTCGCTTGAAAGAAACTGTAGAGTTCTTGTGATAAAAAAAATATACATAGAACAAATTCTTCATTCTGCTGAGCTGCTTTTTGCAAAAGAGGCATAAAGCAACGTGAAGTCATGTTTCATTAGAGCGCACGCAATCACAACCACGAAGCAAAAGTGATGCAGATGCTTTTTTGCCTCCTGGGAAAGACTAACTGATTGCGAGTCTTCAACAAAACAACCAGGCTTTGGATTCTTTCCCCAATTGCAGGGAGCCTTCCTCTCCAGAATGACTAATTTCGTGTCCTTGCTGCGGAAACGCATGCGGCATTTCGTAAAAAAAAAAAAAACTATCCAACCACTTATGCAAATTGAGTTGAAGGAATCTCTGATTGATTGAGAGTTGTATAAGAGAGTCGTGAGATTTTATTTGTAAACTACAAACCCATAAAATAGTTTTACAATAAAAAAAAACATTACAAATTTCTCAGTCCCCTTTTCCCTCTCATGAAAAACTGATCATGTGAAATGGATATCGCCCGTCTCAAAATATCGCTGAGCAAATTAAATTATTTTCGTTTTTCGCCTTTGAAATCTGCTCTCAAAAGCAGCACCCCACCGAAATGTTTATAATTAATTTGCCAATAAAATAACCTGCTTTGAAATTTTACCCCAGTAAAGGGCAAAAAATAAATGTGCCCTTTTAACCAGCAAGAATTATTGGTTTTGAGATATTTTTGTTTGCAAAATGTACCTCTCCGCGCCAAATTGTTCATTGATTCGATTGAAATTCGATCTGAAAACAGCGTGAAAATTTCCGCATGGTGTGTGGGAAAAAAAGAAACGGCATGGCGCACAAAGGACTCAATTAATGAACTCGCCGCCAACATTCATTGGAAATTATTCACTCAAGCTGCCGTTAACAAGTCAAGTGACGCGGAAAAAACTTTCCGTCGATTCATCAAAAAAAAAAAAAAAAAAAAATCAATTAATACATTTGTGCGGTGGATATTTTCACTCAATAAAATAAGTAGCGAACAAAATAAATGGGCGTAGGTGATTGAGTTGCGAGAATTTCCGTTTTGTGTACCTGTTGCCGGACAGGCTTCGCCATCTCATTTGTTATGCAGGCGAGCGGACCAGATTTACAAACAGGTGGACATTTCTGCGAAAGATCAAACACTTTTTTAAACGAGAAATATAGAATGAAGTTTTCTGAATAGAAATGCGTTTCATATAAATAATATCATCTGAATAGTAAGAACCGTCACTAATATCAAGACTCTTTCACCAAATGAAATTTGAAAGTATTAATATTAATAAATTTTATCTCTCAAGAAACTTCAAAATATTTAAATAATTAATCAGTCTGTATTATTAACATTTTTTTCTGAAATTTTTAAAAACATTCATAGGCAAGTGCTATGGTAAAAATTATTTTTATAATTAATAAATAAATATTTTAAATAAAAAATTAAGGAAAAAAATTTGAACTTCAATATAAATTCCTAAATAAAATTAATTTTTGAAAGTAGCAAAATTTTTATTATATTAGCTAGTTTTAATGTTTTTCAATTGCTGTAACAAAAAATTCCCTAAAATGCAAGGTCTTCGAGATGTATCTGCGCAGAATTCGCAAAAGTGAGGAAAAGGAACAAAAATTGTTACAGAAGAAACTGCTGTCATAAATACCTCCTACGATTAATACTCATTAAATAAAGCCTTACTTAATAAAACAACTGGGGCAACTTTGGCTTTTGGTCCTTTTAAAGCCGAGTAAAATCTAATCTATGGCATTGCACAGGAATGAGGGTTGCTTTTTCCTTCTCCACTTGCTAAGGGGCTGTTTTTGCGTTTGTTTCGCTTTCACCAGCGTGCTTGGCAAATTTCCCTGACACATGGGCAATTCAATCAAAATACTGCTGACAGGCAGCTGAGAAAATTTAATAAGTCTCTCCACTCTCTTTTTGTCGCATTTGAATGCGCGAGTATATTTATTTCTTGTCTCGGCGGCAGGCGAAAGTCGCGAGCGCTCGCGGCCAAGTGCCAAGGCACTAAAATTTACTTGTTCTCTGTTTTGCTTGAGATTCATGATGTGTGCCGTGCCGAGGGTGGAGCAGAACAAAAATATGCTCCCTTTTATCAGTCGAGTCGCGATGCATCTCTTTTCTGACTGAGTAAGTGATTTTGGAATCGACGATTTATGGGCCACGGCCCGAGAAATTATTGCTGACGCGAATTTTCTCCTTCTTCTGCACAAGAATGTCTTCTTTTCCGCAAAGGTCGTTCTGTTTGATGGGCTTATCGACTAAAAAATTTGGCATAACGAGCAATACTTTTTGTGTGGAAATCATATTTGATTTCAGAATCATGTTGATATGTAAATCAAAATTTCATATATTTTTTTTTAAAGGCTCAAAATTATTTATCTTTTTGGTATGCTTGTAAAAATAAAATTATTTCAGCTGAGCCCCCTGGCTATTGTGTTTTGTGAGAGTAATGGGAATTTATTCATTTGGTTTTGAATGAGTAACAAGTGCTGAGGACGATCGTAAAATTTAAAATTTTGTGATATGGCGATTTTTATTGCCGACAAAAAACGCACAGCAGCGGCCGTTTGCACACTGTTGTGCTCGCTGTTTACAAATAAACACGCGGGCGGCTCGTTTCCCCCCTCGTTCACTGTCTTTTATAGGCGTAATAAACCGCCGCTCGCGAATTTATTTTGCTTATAAAACTGCAGTAAAATTCATATTGCTTCCGAGACAAACATTAGTTTATGACGAGCCTAACGATTTAATGCACTGGCCCGAAAATATTATTATAAATGCATTTTAATGAACATTTTAACGCCATTTCATGAAGAATTTAATCTGTGAAACTGCATAAAAATATTTAATCTTCACTGCGAGCGATTAATAAATTTCACTTGTCAGCATCGCTCCCCTTGCTTCACGCTTCAATGAAGGGTACAGAGAATGCTAATTTTTTGGAAAATGCAGAAGGGTCGCTTGTTTTTCTGCTTTCGACGATGATTGAAAGAGAAAAAAACGCGCCGCGCACGAAACAACAACATGACACTGCAGTAATTTCAGATATGGGAAGGAAACTCGAGCCGGGAACATCTCATGGGTACCGAGCGAGAGAGGTGGATCGTGATTGATGTCGATGCCGAGCACGTGAGAGATCAAAAAGGCCCAGCAACAATCAAAATAATGAGTCGCGGCAACCGCTGCGAATACCAAGCGTGGCGTCACTTGATTTTGTCTAAAAGGAATTTTTCCGCCACCGCCCCGCGGGGGTCGGTGCTGCTCTCAAATTTGAGCAGATGAGATTTGTGACTTTAAATTAAGTCGACTGCGTCCCGTTGAGAAAATTGAGACTTTCGCGTGGCGAAGAAGCCCCTCGCTGGCAAACTCCCGCAGTTAAGACTTCTCATCACGTACGCGTGCAGAACCAAGGTTTCCACCAAACTCTCTGCTGCCGATTATTAAGCCCCCTGGAAATTTCAAGCGCTCATCGTGGATTTTCAATATAAGGGGCTTGTTAACGCAAACAATTCGGAGTTGATTTCCGTATCAAAAGCACGGCATTTCTAATTTGTACCTCATTCTAGCTAATTGTAAGTCAACGGTCAATCGGTTCATTGCGGTAAAAAGTTTAACGTTGTAAAGTTTAATATTCCCTGTGATTCCCTGCTAGAAATTTACAGCTTACCTTGAATGAAAGACCAGGGAAAGTACATAAAAATCTTTTCAACATGGCAAAGTAAAAATTTCTTGGATCATAAGAAAAATGATTAATTTAAATATGCTTGCAAATTTTAATAGTCGTAGTTTCTTCCGAAATACTAACAATTTAATGAAAATTGAGAATCTTTGAAAATTGAAGAACTTTACCTTTCAGAAAAAAAATTGAATCATACAATAATTTATTTTTGTTATTAATTAATATAATCACCATTTTTGGTTTTTCAATTTCTTCTTCTTGCAAATTGATAAAAAATTGGAAAAGAAAAAAATAGCTCAATGGCTTAAAATTTGAGGATTCTGATAGGATCAAAATAGGCTTTTGTTTGATTGTTGCTCCTTTTTTTGCTCTTAACAGTCACAATTATTGCTCCTTCAATTGGCAAAAAAAAAGCAAAAAAGGCTATCCATATTTTCTTTGCATTAAATTTCTTTCTATTTTGGTGCAGATTATGTAATTTTGAGCAAAATATTATAAAGAATTTTTTATAGCAGACATGCACATTAAACGCTGTTCTTTATTGTCACTATAAATTAAAAAAAAAAAAATCCTTTGGGGTCTCATCATACTTGCAACAGCAATTTGGTTTCCACTTTTGTCAGCCAATCAGATACGGCACCAGTTTGATGGTACTATTTATCTGATTGGCCCACAAACAAAAGAAACGTGATTTTATTGATGCATAAACCGCCACCAAAAACTCCATAATTTGATTGTTGAACTTAAAACTAGTAGCCGCTATTAAAAAAATCATCAACTTCATGTTTTTCTAATAAGACAAAACAAATTTCTTTGAAATTTAATTTTTGTTTTCAATTTTACTAGAAAAATTTGTTTAAATTTTTCTAGCTTATTTCCATGCATTCAATTTTCTCGGAACTCTACAAAGGAAATTTAAGGGCGTTGCTCTTGCAGCGTAACTCGAGTCGGAGTTTCCTTTTGAGCGCTCCCCTGCCGCCGCTAATTAATTAAACGGCCGCTTAATCACAGTCTTGTCACCTCAGCGGAGCAGCGAAAAGAGCGCCGGTACTTTCCGCGCGCGGTGGTCTCTAATCCGTTAAGAACTTGTCGCCCGAGTCTGCTCAGGTGAGGACGGGAAAAAGAGCCACACGATGTTTCAAAGCATGAGCACCACCGCATAAAAATATGTGCTCGGAGTGCGATGAATGGCGAATGACGGGCTGAAAATGGATGGATGATCGAGCGAGCGAGCGAGGCAGGCGAGCATTCCATCCAGCTAATACTTTTTTATTGCTCTTTGTAAAACAGCACCGGCGTTTTTTCCGCTGGGTTGAATTCTGCTTGCACTGCGTTCCGCAAGCTAATCCCAGCCAGCCTTGCCGTGCCTCGCTGCCCCCGCCTGCAAACTCTTTCTCTGCGCGCCCCGTTCATCTCCTCAGACCTGCCTCGTGTTGATCTATTTCCTTTCCCTCAGCAGCAATTCGTAACAAGAACGAGGAGGCCACACAAGCTGTTGCTTTTTGGGGAAGTAATCTTTGAGTGGTTTGTCTAACCCAAAAGAGGATCACCAATTTTTCTCCGCGGATATTTTACGTCAAACTACCTGACCAAATTCAACGTTCTTTCTCCGTGCTGCATCCAATCCCGGGACAAAGAGGATTTAGTTCAAAGTATAAACAACCGAAGCCGGCTAAGCCTGTTGAACATGAAAGTTATATTTAGATTAGCCTCATATGGACATTGTTGTTCATTTATGAAATCCATCTTGGTACAACTTTTGGGACTTTCACTTCAATTTACAAAGTTTTATTAAAAATCAAATGTGCGCAATTCTATTTTTTTTTTATTAAAACCCATAAAATTCAAAGAAAATAGATACAAGGTATTATATTTATTTACTATTTATTATGAAAAACGAATGGGTGAATGGATTTTAAAATTTTAAACGATTGGAAAACTTTTATTTAAAAATTTAAAATTTATAAAACGTAATGTTTTTTTCTTTTTTATTTTTTTTTACAGGATCAGGATACACTTTAGTCAGTAAAAGCTTTTGCTTTTTGCAGACGGATTTATGCGCTGCTTTTTTAATTGAAAAGTACCTCTTGTAACTTGAAATGCGAAACCCTCGTTTTTAGAGAGGAGAAAACAATATTGTTTTGAACGTACTTCTGCTCAAATTTGCATGCCGTTTCCACGCTGTTTACTCCACTGTGCTTTTGTCTTTTTCCAGGCACATGACTGTGGACGCTGTTTTATGCACCTGCACCGACTCCAGGTTTTACGGGCCTCTCTGCGAGTTCTCCAACGTCACGGGTGAGCAATTTTTTACATAAAAGTGACGCTCAATGAGAGCCTTAAAAAATTCCCAAAGGGTCCTCGTCTGAATAACGCTCAACCAACGTGCCGTAATTTTTTTCCCCGTGCACAGTCTGGCACGAACTGAAAGAAAGGCAGAGATTTTTTTTCGTAAAAAATTCAAATTAACTTATCGACCTTTTTTAATATGGAAAAGAGTAGCACTGCTGGCAGACTTGAACGTGGAGCACAAGAATGTGAAATATTTATGAATTACAAGCTGGGTCTTGTGAGCCCTTCTAGTCTTACTTAGGAGCAGATGGTGCGTCCGCTATGTTTCATCGATTTGTTATTAAAATTCGCGCCGTATCGACAACAATGCTTCGTCGATAAGGACGAGCTGGAATTTATCTTTAATACATGAACCACGAGTTACACAATAACAGGCGGGCGTTGTTGCTCTCGTTATGTGTAATTTATGCGGACCCACACGTGTTAATATCCTCGGAGCAATAAAAGACTGTATGTGGGGAATAAACTACGCGTGTAGTGCAAAATTCTACAAGCATGACTGAGAGAAACAGCAGCAGGTGATGAGAACAGACACGACCGACGTGTGGTATGCAACCTGCCCGGCACGGCTGCTCGCCATGCTGCATAGCAGATTTTCCCCAGGAGGCAAAGATATAATTTCCTGGTGGAGCGGAGAGTTATGAACTCGTTCGTAAATTGATCCCTTCCTTGAAATAAATCAACGAAATTATTGATAAAAAATTCCTCTGCATTAGCATTTTGATACATTCTATATTTTTAATGTGATTTAAAAAAACTTGCTTTATTATGAAATAATATTTCTCCAAAATATAAATCCCTAATATTTGCTTTATTTAGCTTTTTTAAATCACAATTTATTATTATTAAAAAAATTCAAACTCCATTTTTCCACAGAATTGACACACAAGCAGAAGATTTTAGTTTGGGTTTGAGTGAAATTACTGAAATTAGTATCACATCGAAGCAGACTGACATTTGTAAAAACTGCCCCTTTTTCGTCTATGGCTCATTGTAAACCAATTTTGACGTTTTAAATAATTTATTACGAAATAGGATTACCAAAGCCATCGGGAAAAGATTTTTCCATACCAAATGCTACAATTTCATTCAAAATTTAAACACATATGAGGTGAACACTTGAATCCTAATTTTAATATCCTGCACATCCTGCAGGGTTTGAGGTTGAAAAGTGAGATATTGTTTATGACTCTCTCAGGTCTTTTACCCCAGCACAAGGAAATCAATTTTCCTCTTGAGCGGTGCGCCCCATAAAAGTAATATTCACTTCTGGCCTGGGAGAATGGATTGGCTCGTTGACTCAGGCAGGCTGCAAATTCTCGGCGATCATTTTGTCTTGCCCGTTCCGCCCTGATATCCAGCGCACGTTCTTTTTGAATCTATTTCTCTGGCCGCAAGGCACCTTTTCCTATTTCCATCAGAACACGCCAAATCGCAGCGACTGAGAGATAAAGGCCACTTTTTCTTCTTCCCTTGTCCAATTGTGTTGAATAAGCACTGTCCGGCGAGATCGCCCTCTGTTTTATTTATTACAAATATTTTGCGCGGAAATAAATTCCCCGGACGGAACAAGATCGATTGCTGCGCTCAAGTCTCGCAGCGATCGGAATTTCAAAGGGCACCGGAGAGTCAAATCGTAAAACAGGAAGATACTTCAGAAAGCAAAAAATTCCCTTAAAATGCATGCTTGTTTGTAGGAAATTTTTAACCATCATTCTATGTATTTAAATAGCTTTCGTAAACTTTAAAAAATATTTAATTGCAACTCAAGAAAATAATTTTATGGTTTTATTTAAAGCTTTCAAACTTAATAAATTTTAATTAAAGAAATTTTTTTAGTTACCATTTACATTTTATTTCTTTATTGATTTTATTTTATTGTTAAACAGTGTAAATGGTAATTAGTTATAAAAAAATAAAACAAAATTTAAGTGATTTAAAAAAATACTTGTCAATAAATACTTCTAATTAAATTATATCAAACGAAACCTCTAGACCTTTAATCTTCATGCCGTTATTCTGGCACAAAAACATGATAATTATAAAGAAAATTATTTTTTTTAATAATAATATTTTAGTTACTTACTATTCAATTTTAACATTGAATATTTAAATTCTAATTATTTCGCCGTAGGTTCCAAAAGTAGGACGAAAATTGCTCTCTAAACAAATTGTCTCTCCAAAACGGCGAGCAGTGCCTTTTTTGTCGTTAAACAATTGAATCAAATAATCAAGTCCGTGGAAGCGTCGTCCCTCATCCCTGCATAGGCCAATTTCAATTGAACAGACCTCATTCATGAATAATTCCGAGACCGCCCGGCCAGTTGGTGAACGCGTAAACACACATTATTAATCACGTCGCCATTGTTTCAGACTGCGAGCAGGGTGGCCTGTGTGAGGCGCAGTGTACTTTCGACGGCAACCCCCAGTCAGCCTGCAAATGCGGTTTGGGGGCGGCGGTTCCAGTTGGTGAGTAGTCTCTCGAGGGCGTCAGGCCTTCTCGTTAAGCTCTTTCCCTGGGTCGCTCAGGGAGACAAGCAAAATCTCCTGTTGCACGCCTAATTGCTGCCTATTCAAGGAATTCGTGGAGATTTTCAAAAGCCAGTAGGAAATTTCCGTTGGGCTTCAAAGGAATTTTCAATTTCTTTGAAATAGATTTCCGACGATTTAGCCCAAATCATAAATTATCATACAATTCACCACCGTTTTGAGGAAACCATAAAAATCAAAATAATTGATTGATATCCTATTTTTTACAATCAAAAGTAACAAATTGCAAAATTACATCTGAATAACCAACAGCCATAAAGCTACCGTTGAGATGATACAAATCGTTTTCGAAACATCCAGTTTTGGTTCACCCATATTTTGCGTCACCGCGTTGTGACCGGCGATAAGGCGTCATTATTACTGTGTAAGAGTTGCTGCAATAACGACGCAGGCGATGTTCTGGCACACGCAAATAATCTCTCTCTGCATATGCAGTCTCGTAAATTGCGTCGTTCGACGCGCTTTATTTATTGAGCTCATCGTAACAACTCGGGTATTGCGACAGGCAAACCTAATTTGAGGTGATAGCATCGCGCGCGCACTGATTGCCATCTTTATTGTGTTGCACGCGTGAAATAAATTCCAGGCTTGCCTTCAATGCTCTCAAATTAATCTGTTTACGCTCATCGAAGTGAAATTTACGCTATAAAGTTGGTCTTTAAAAAAAAAATTAATTAAATATGCATTAGACTTTATACTTCATAAATAAAAAAGTTAATTATCTTATTTTTTTAATCCATGTAAATTTTTTGCACTTTTTAAGTGATATTATTTAAAGAATAAATGTTCATTTTTTTTTTTAATTAAATGTCATTGTGATGCTTCATTGAAAGGCTAAAGTTTATTTTCATTCCAAAAAAATTTGTTTTCCGTATGCATTTTAAACTTTAGAACTGTTCGGAACTTTTTTGTTCAACACCAAGGCAACAAACCTGCAGCTCTGTTGCACCTTATTTATACAAATGTTTACATTTGTGGCATCGCGGGGATTGGTCCCTTTTTTTCCTCTACACTCACTCTGCTTTTTTTCTCAAAGTGAGAAAGAGCGTCTGAAAGGAATATTTTACTACAGATCTCTCAATTCCATTTTGAAAATCCGCACACTCACGTGAGCGGAATGGAACCTTCTATGTATGCATGTTTTTTTTTCAGAGAGCGAATTTGGTCGGGTCGCGACTTTGAAAACAGACGCTGCGTTGTTAAATATTCATTTTGCTGTCGCGAGGTGCGAGGAAAAGCAGGAAATTCTTGCAAAATCTGTGTCATATGTTCACATGATATGTCATGATTATTGTGATATTGCTTTCGGAAACCAAGAAATCTTGGAGATTCAACTGGAGTCGGGAGACGAGGCTCGTATCTCATTAAGAAGAATTATCACTGCTGTCACTCAGACTTGAAAACTCGTCAGTGAATATTCTCGCCCCCCTTGTGGAACATAATCTAAGAAGCAAATCTGTATTTAGAACGCCAACAGCCACGTGACTCGACTAACTACAGCAAATAAAAAATCGTTACCCATTTTGCGAGGCGGAAATTGCTCATATATGAAATTCTCGGTCGCCACCGTTACGCGTTATTTGTAAGACTTGCGAAACCTGAGCGAGCAAACGACGTTATTAAAAGTGTGCAAATTGGTGGAAAAGTTTTCTCGTTATAAATTTACAAAAAAAAAACCAGCAAGTGGCTTTGTGTTTTTAAAAGAATTTACGCAGCAAGTGGGGCGAAACATCGAAGATGGGAAAACGCACTTGCTCAGGGTCAAAATAGTTAATTCGAATGAGAGACGGTGCGAGCGGAAGCGGCCGGGAAAATTGAAATTAATTCGCCCCTTGATGGTGTAACACATCAGAGCGCCGGCGAATTCGCGTCACGTCGTTCGCCAAGGAGCCGTTGAAGCAAAGGGGTGAGCGATGATCTCGCTGGCTGTGCGTTTAATTGGATTTGCAGACACCGAGAACACTCATTAGCACCCCAGGCAGCGCCAATCATGATATTCAATGAGATCGCCGCCGCCTCGCAAGAATCCCGAATTGGCTCTCTCCGGCACACTCTCGCGCTGTCAATACTCGCTCGTCACACTCGGCGGAATTTTCGCTGACGACTCCCCTCGATAATTCTCCCTGATATTATTTTCGTTCGTTCGCAGAGGATTCTCTCTCGAAAGTTGCTTCGGAGCGCTCGTCGGATATTAGTTTTTTGCCGGGGGAAAAAGTTGCGATTGGGCTCGCCAGTGGACAGAATTAAAAAGCAGCGACGACGCTCGCTCTCTCTCTGTAAAAGGGCGAGCAGCATGCAGAGGCGCACTTGAAAAATCAATTTCTCGGCGCTGTTTCCTGATGCGGCTCTTTCTCTCCTTTCTTCTCTTCATCTTCTCAATTTTTATCGCACAAGAGCGCGCGGCCTCTCTTTCTCCTTCCTTCTTTTGCAATATTTCTGCTTAAACGAGTGCCAATAATGTAGCATCATAAAAATTCCTTATCTTCGCGCGAGCTGAAAAATATTGCCGCGATGGCGGCGAGTCCCTTTCTCATTCGCTCACTCAAGGGAAAGTCGTCGGTTCGAGATGCGTGATGGATGGAAGCTCTAATTAGTGCCAATATTGTGATGACCGCCATTTATCATCGATTCAATATTTGCTCCGAAAGGAAATGACAGCAGCGAGAGAGTTTTTTTCTCTTTTTTTCCTGCTGGATTAGTTTTTTACTCTCTTCGCATTTTCAATGGATTCAAAAGCTGGCACGTTGCATACCCATAAAATCATAAATAATTATTATCAAGTACTTTGCCAATACAGCGAAAAATTATTTTAACAGAATTGACCTCATTAAATGTGAACGAACAAATGTTCAAAAAATACGCTGATGATGATATTTTTGCCTAGCTTGTTTAGTGAAGAATTTTTAAAATATAATTCAAATAAAGCGTGGTAAATTTTAATTTCATTCCTCTTAATTTAAAATTAGCATTAGAATAAAATTTCATAAATATGATTACTCTTCACAATAATTATCTCGATGGTGGAATTTTATTTTTTGCAATATTCTGATAAGTTCTCTATCTAATTATTTTTGTTGTTTCATTTGAAGCTTTAAAACTTGATAAAAATTTTAATTGAAGATTTTTATGTAGTAAGAATTTATTAATTATTTCTCTGTTGATTTAATTTTTTTTATAAACAGTATCAATGGTAATTAGTTGAAAAGAATAAAACAAAAATTTAAGTGATTTAAAAATAAATACTTATAAACAAATATTTCTAAATAAAATATATGAAACAAAACCTCAAGTTTTTAAATATTCATGCTGAACGTTATTCTGGAACAAAAACATGACAGTTATAACAAAAATGAATTTGTAATAGTAATATTTGAGTTACTTATAATTCAATTTAAACATTGACTAATTATATCGCCCAAAAAAACAAATCTATATAAAAACATCACGTTCCAAAAGTAGGACGAAAATTGATCTGATTATTTTTTTTTTCAATTGAATCAAATAATTATTTCGATGATGAAATTATATTTTTGCAATATTCCGATAAGTTTTCTATCCAATTGACTCTGTAAAGAGCTTTGAATTGATTTCACAGTGAATGATAATTCATATTCCACTGTTTTAACGATTATAAGTGTTCATTTACAAAGCCGTGCACATTCATTTCGTGCCAATCTTCATGATTCAACCATTTTCTCACTTGGATGATTTTAAAAGAATTCAAGCAAGCAATATGAATTATGCAATATCTTATTGCGAAATATCTATGGGAGCATTAAATTTAATTTCAATTGAATGCTCTTACTCGGTAGAAGTGCAAACAACGTCTTGTTTGTGGTTCACAAGTGCACTCGGTTGCATATGTCATGGCTAAATGCACCTGCCCATAACGCGCGAGTAAACTGCTATAGAGATAAGGATGCTATGAGACGAAAGTAGGACAGCCCTGCACGCAGTCTTGTTTCGTTCTTTTCTAACAATGGGCGTTGCGGAAATAAAAATAATCCGGCTGCGCCGCGCATCTAATAGAATATAAATTGAACGTCAACCGCACGCCGCCCTCGCTGCGTATCTTGTGTGTGTTTCGCCTCAGAATTATGTATCTGCAAAGAATAATGGCGGCCGGAAGACAATAAGTAACATTGTGTGTGTGACGCAAACGACTGGCTTTAGCTGCCGGGCTGCGGAGGAACTGGCTCGCTCGCTCGCTCTCTGTGCTTCTTGAGGGCTTTTGATTGAGCTGGCCGCGCCACGACAAGGGAGGCCTCCTCATTCACATCCCTTTGCAGTGCCGCTTTTACCCTCGCCAGGCTGGACCCAACTAAACACGATTTGCAGCGGCGTTCCTTTGTTGTCACTTGCAACGTTTTCCCAGGTGTCCTTTTTTACCTCGCTTCCTATTTTTTGTCGCAGTGTCTTCCGACAATGTTGTGTAGGGTGATGTTTTTTTCCTAATTGTTTGTCTCCCTTTTACCCACCACCAGGCTGGAAATTACAGAATTCGAGCTTTAAATCCTGCTGAGATTATAATTGGGCCTTTTTCTGAAATCTATAATTTAGCTTATGATGCAAAAATTTATGTAAAATTAAATTTTAGAAATCTACTTAAAAAAGCAGGTAATAATAATATCAATTAATATTTTAATTCAACTGAAACTGAAATATATATTGTTAAAATAAAAATGCCAATTAATTCAGGTTTTTTTATTATTTTTACTTTAAATTTTTTTCATAAAATTGATTTTTTTAAATATAATTTGTATGTATCCCAATTATCAGTTTTATATTTTTGTCTAAAATATTCTTAAACATTTTTACGAAAACTTTGTCAAATAACATTCACCTATTCGCCTAAAATAATTTATTCTTGACTAACTTCAGACCAAAAAAATCTAATGTATAGTTGCAACGGTTCCAAT